CGCCATATGTTGTTGGGTGCCGTTATTGGCTGCTCGGGCAACAAGACGGTCGGCGAGCGTGTATATCCGACCTTGGCTGCTTCGTGAGCCCGTGGTACCGATTTGATGCCGACGATCCTCCTTGTGTTCTTCGTCCTTCCCTTTACCGTCCCCGGATGCCGGGGACCTCTCGATGGCTGGATCCAGTGGCCGCTCGGGACATTGGGGTTGGGGCTCTGGATTAGGGGAAACTCTTACCAACAATGCCGGTCACAATGCCGGCAGCTCTCCATGCGCCGCTCTTCTTCCCGTAGATGGCATCGAGATCTACCACAACCCTCCATCTCCCGGTCCCAGGTGAACACCCAAAATTACATCGGATTGGGCGTAATGGCACTACGACATCATTTCTCTTCCTAAAGAAGCCCCTTGGGATGGTGGTGTGGTGCTTGGGACTTCGATGCGGGCGATGGTTCGTCGATGATGCATCAGGGGTGGCCCTGCTCGGTAGCTTGTGGTGGGGTTCTAGGTGATTGTCGAAGGAGGTCGTGATGTATGCGGTGTGCTCTGCAAGGTGAGGTAGCCGATCTTGCCATCCTCTCCCCAGCCACATGTTGATCATTCTCGTGCGCACTCTGGGGTGAGCTGGTCTGTCTGCGACGTCTCGCCTGAAGGAAATATGCCCTAGAGGCGATAATAAAGTTGTTATTTTATATTTCCTTATATCATGATAAATGTTTATTACTCATGAATTGTATTAACCGGAAACTTGATACATTTGTGGATACATAGACATAACACCGTGTCCCTAGTAAGCCTCTACTAGACTAGCTCGTTAATCAAAGATGGTTAAGTTTCCTAACCATAGACATGTGTTGTCATTTGATGAACGGGATCACATCATTAGGAGAATGATGTGATGGACAAGACCCATCCGTTAGCATAGCATATTGATCGTTTAGTTTTATTGCTATTGCTTTCTTCATGTCAAATACATATTCCTTCGACTATGAGATTATGCAACTCCCGGATACCGGAGGAATGCCTTGTGTGCTATCAAACGTCACAACGTAACTAGGTGATTATAAAGATGCTCTATAGGTATCTCCGAAGGTATTTGTTGGGTTGGCATAGATCGAGATTAGGATTTGTCACTCCGAGTATCAGAGAGGTATCTCTGGGTCCTCTCGGTAAGACACATCATAAGAAGCCTTGCAAGCAAAGTGACTAATGAGTTAGTTGCAAGATGATGTATTATGGAACGAGTAAAGAGACTCGCTGGTAACGAGATTGATCTAGGTATGAAGATACCCACGATTGAATCTCGGGCAAGTAACATACCGATGGACAAAGGGAATTACGTATGTTGTCATAACGGTTCGACCGATAAAGATCTTCGTAGAATATGTAGGAGCCAATATGGGCATCCAGGTTCCGCTATTGGTTATTGACCGGAGAGGTGTCTCGGTCATGTCTACATAGTTCTCAAACCCGTAGGGTCCGCACGCTTAACGTTCGATGATGATATTGTATTATATGAGTTATGTGATTTGGTGACCGAATATTGTTCAGAGTCCCGGATGAGATCACAGACATGAAGGGGAGTCTCTAAATGGTCGATAGGTAAAGATTGATATATAGGACGATGGTTTTCGGACACTGGAAGTGTTCCGGAGGGTACCGGGTACATATCAGGTCACCGGAAGGGGTTTCGGGCACCCCCCAGCAAAAGATATGGGCTTAATGGGCCAAGGAGGGGACATACTAGCGCACAAGGGGCCGGTGCACCCCTCCACCAGGCCGACCAGCCCTAGGGAAGGAAAATGGGGGAGGGCAAGTCCCTCCTTCCTTCCCCTCCTCAAGGGAGAAAGGAAAGGGGGGGGCACCTCCCCCTCCTTCCCCTGGCGTCTATACAAGGAAGGGGGAGGCCGAACCAGGGCAGGAGCCCAAGTGGGATTCAGCCCCACTTGGGATTCCCCCTTGGCCTCTCCCCTCTCCCTCCCACCTATATATATGAGGAGGGGGCACCTAGCACACCGACGACAAACTCTTAGTTGTGTGAAGCGCCCCCCTCCACGATTTAGACCCTCGAAAAAAAATCCGTAGTGCTTAGGCGAAGCCCTGCGGAGATCACTTAACCATCACCATCACCACTCCGTCTTGCTGTCGGAACTCATCCACTACCTCCCCAACTTGCTGGATCAAGAAGGTGAGGACGTCACCGAGCTGAACGTGCGCTAAACGCTGAGGTGTCGTACGTTCGGTACTCGATCGATTGGATCACGAAGAAAGTTCAACTACATAACCGTGGTCTTAAAAACTTCTGCTTACGGTCTATGAGGGTACGTAGACACACTCTCCCCCTCTCGTTGCTATGCATCTCCTAGATAGATCTTGCGTGAGCATAGGCATTTTTTTGAAATTGCATGCTACGTTCACAACAGTGGCATCCAAGCCAGGTCTATGCATAGATGATATGCACGAGTAGAACACAAAGAGTTGTGGGCGGTGATAGTCATACTGCTTACCACCAACGTCTTATTTTGATTCGACGGTATTGTGGGATGAAGCGGCCCGGACCAACCTTACATGTCCACATACATGAGACCGGTTGCACCGACAGACATGCAACTAGTTTCGCATAAAGGTGGCTGGCGGGTGTCTGTTTCTCCTACTTTAGTTGAATCGAATTTGACTACGGCCGGTCCTTGAAGAAGGTTAAAACAGCAAACTTGACGAAACACCATTGTGGTTTTTGTGCGTAGGTAATAACGGTTCTTGCTAGAAGCCCATAGCAGCCACGTAAAACTTGCAACAACAAAGTAGAGGCCGTCTAACTTGTTTTTGCAGGGCATGTTGTGATGTGATATGGTCAAGACATGATGTGATATACGTTATTGTATGAGATGATCATGTTTTGTAAAAGTTATCGGCAACCGACAAGAGCGTTATGGTTGTCTCTTTATTGTATGAAATGCAAACGCCATGTAATTGCTTTACTTTATCACTATGCGTTAGTGATAGTTGTAGAAGCAATAGTTGGCGAGACGACCACGACGTAACGGTGGAGATCAAGGTGTTGAGCTGGTGACAATGGAGAACATGGCGATGCTTTGGATATGGAGATCAAAAGCACAAGATGATGATGGCCATATCATGTCACATATTTTGATTGCATGTGATGTTTATCTTTTATGCATCTTATTTTGCTTAGTACGACGGTAGCATTATAAGATGATACCTTAACTAAATTTCAAGGTATAAGTGTTCTCCCTGAGTATGCATCATTGCGACAGTTGGTCGTGCTGAGACTGTTGCGGAACGTAGCATGCAATTTCAGAAAATTTCCTATGCTCACGCAAGATCTATCTAGGAGATGCATAGCAACGAGAGGAGGAGAGTGTGTCTACATACCCTTGTAGACCAAAAGCGGAAGCGTTTGACAACGGTTGATGTACTTGAACTTCTTCTCGTTCCGACTGGTCAAGCATCGAATGTACGACACCTCCAACATCTGCACATGTTCGGCTCGATGACGTCCCTCGAACTCTTGATCCAGCAAAGTGTCGAGGATGTAGATGAGTTCCGTCAACACTACGGCAT